GAGTGGTGTCGAGACTCACACGGTCACCATGGAGCTCCTCAAGTCCCTTTCGAGCTACTCGTGGGATGCTAAGGCCGTGATCGTATTCGCGGCCTTCGCTATCAATTACGGCGAGTTTTGGCTCGTCGAGCAGCTCCAGACGACAAATCCACTCGCGAAAAACATCGCGGCCCTCAAGGACCTCCCGTCAATTATAGACCACGCGGGGGACCTGAAAAAAAGGTTCGAGGCTGTTCTTGATTTGCTCAACCAGGTCCTCCGGGTCACGCATTGCATCATCGAGTTCAAGGAGCTGCCGCACGTGTACATTAGCCGCGAGTCGCCGGAGATATCGGCGGCAACAGCCCATATTCCGACCGCCGTTTATTGGATCTTGAGGAGTCTCCTCGTTTGTGCCTCGACTCTCTTGAACTTGATCGGCAGTGGGCATGAGTACGTAAATTTCATTTTTTTTTCCAATTCTCGATAAGTATTTACGATTTTTTTTTTGTCAGATACATGACCTCAACTGCCGAGTCGTGGGAGATACTGAACCTGGCACACAAGCTCTCGGTTATATTCGAGCACTTGCAGAATCAGCTGAGGAGATGTTCTGAGACAATCAGTAAGTTCACGGTCGTTTGGTTCCTTTTTGTCATCCGTAAACAAGAAAACCAAACATGACTATATCCCTACTTATTTTGATCTAACAGACAAGAAGAAGGCAGAAGATGCATACTTTGCATTCAGAAAACTTATGGAGTCGGCTCATATCGACAACATGAAAGTACTCAAGGCGATGATCAAATCCCGAGAAGACCAACGTCCGCTCTTCGATGGCTCAAAACGACTAAACGTTCGGTTTTTTTTTTTCCGTTTTGTTACATTATAAGAAGTCAAAAATGCATTTTTAGTCATGTTGGTTTAATGTCATAGCAATTTTATTTTCAAGATTCAAAATTTTTGACTTTTGGTCATGTAATTTAATATTTTGCTGCAATTTTAATCTAATCAAAATTGTTGCAATTTCAGTCTTTAAATAAAGGACTAAAATTGTAACAGAATATTAAATCATTGGACCAAAAATGTAAAATGTTGAAATCTTGAAACTAAAATTACTATGGCGTTAAACCAACATAACTAAAAATGCAATTTTGCCATATAAGAACTCGAGTACTTAATCTAAGCTCATCTACAGGAACGAATAGAAGCCCTTCGGCTAAAATACGTGCTCCTCCTAATCTCGAACCTCGAGCTCCCCCAAGAAGAGCTCCACATACTCCACTCAATCTACAGCCAGCACCAGATGAGGCACGAGTACGAAGTCCTATGGCTACCCCTCGTGGACCCCACCACGGCACAACTAACCCCAACTCAAGAAACCGTATTCTACGACTTACGAAACAACATGCCCTGGCACTCGGTGGACCACCCTTCGCTGGTCGAGCCAGTGGCCGCTCGCTACATTAAGGACGTGTGGGGTTTCGTGCACACGCCGATGCTGGTCGTGCTCGACCCGCAGGGAAAGCCCGCCAACCTGGACGCGCTGCCGATGATGTGGATATGGGGAAGCTCGGCTTTCCCGTTCACGCGGGCCCGCGAGGGGGCACTCTGGGCCGAGAGCACGTGGAATATCGACCTGCTGGCCGATGCCATCGACCCGCGATTCGCGGAATGGGTACGCGTTTGATGCATTTTTTGTTTAATTTGATTACTCGATTTTCATAAGATTCAAACTTCTCCACGTAAAACTTTTTCGATTTCCAACAAGTAAAACAAGCTAAAAAGAACTCAGAGCCAAGGTATGAAAACAGAGAAA